ATGATCCCAATCCAAACCAGATTCGAGAGGCATCGGAATATAACAGCACAAGTGCATACAAGTGATACAAGTGCATCGATATTCCGATCGTAGATTGGTTTAGATGCAGCCTCCCAAAGTCTCTATCGCAACAACGGCCTGCTAGATATATAACCTTTTGCTGAAGAACAGTCAGTTCCCCCCTTGCTGCTCACTTGTTTTAAAGCCAAGTGATCTCCAATTTCCACCCATTGAGCACTTGATGCGATTCCGGGCCGTGCCGGGAGATGTTTGGTCACCACCAGTTGGTCATAGGCTTTTCAGGAAGGTCGTATACACAGTACTCTCAGCGTTCAGGTCCAGGTTGTGTTCTGCAAGTAGGCCTGAAGCTGGCCTGTTTGCATTCGCATGTTGCAGTAACCACCGTAAAGAAAGTTTGTGCTGCCTGGAGGCCCAAACCATACTCAGCCATACTCCCATGCGTTTGAGTCACCCCAACTCTGGATAGACGATGCAGTTGGGAAACTCCTGGGAAAGTCCTCCATGGACATTGGACTTCGTTCACACCTATACTGCCGCATGTATTCACATGTATTCACATGTACTCACATGTATTCACATGTATTCACATGTATACTGTATACACATGTATTCACGTGTATACACAGGTATCCACATGCATAGGCCGTACTTCTTCCAGATCATATTCGCGGGTCGTTTTGGGTCCTTGATACAAACTGACAGTAGCCTGTGCTGCCAAAACGAAAGCTTTCTTCTTGCTGCATCCATCTGAAAATCTTTGATTTGGCACTGTGTGGAAGAACCAAGGACCGCATTTTTTGGACCCAGCGTTGAAGTGTTGCCAATAAGATTCTCTCTGAGTCACTGCCCTTTTAGCCTTAGAAGTGACCGGTGGGTTCCTTGTCACTATTTCAAACAAACTTCTTGCTCTTTGGGTGATGGCTGGAAACTAGAAAGTTTGAGCCAGAAAAATAATGAAAAATACATATTCAAACGAGCTTGCATGCTCGAGCCAAATGCTGCTGCTCAAAAAGCTAGGATAGTGACTTGCACGGCTAAAAGAATGAACGCTGCCCGTACGAGATATATAATATGTATTTGTATATAATATATATATATATGTATATATAGATAACAAACCGGTACAATTGGTGTGTGAAGACTTCCAACAAGAAACAGCGTCTGCGAAGTTGAAAGGAGTTGGGGCAGTTGGCGGTTATTACTTTTTGACATATTTTGAAGAGGACACTAAGACAGAACCTGGCAATTGTGACAACGTCGCGCGTGCCAACACTTTAATGTACATGGCAAGGTGTGAGGTTTCCTGATTGTATGAAAAGGACCTCAATGGTTGGGATATGTTGGGATTACATTGGACGGAGAATAGGTATGTACATGATGTATCATCGTTTATGTCTATTGCACAACATATAGCAGTACAATATATATATATATGTATTCGATATAAGAATTGTTCTAAGGTCCGTGTAAAGAATTATGATTGCGAGGACCATTCGTGTCGTCTCTCGGACCCTCGCGAATTTAACAGTTTTTCTTTTTTCAAAAGTTTACGCAAAATTAGATATCATGAATCATCATCAAACACACATCTTGCAAGGATATCTTTTCGAAAGAAGCGGGCGAAAATCAAAGTGAGGTTTGGGGGATGGCCGAGTAAGCCTTACAAATCTAAGCCCAACAAGCAATAGGCAATAATATATTGATTCTGTGATGCTAGCTGCGCATTTACAAGGCCGTCATAAATTAAATTAATCCATGTTGATCCGCCAGGTAGTGACCGCGTGTTCGCGAGGCATGTTGTAACATATACGTGCTGCGAAAGATAGAGATGGCGTTCGCGAAAGTTTGCCCAAGCAACATTAGATCAAACCCGGCCCATACAGTGTATATATAACATATTTATATATATATATATACACATAATGGTTACAGATACTTGAAGATATGCATGTATAGATGAATATGTTTTTGCCTCTGTTCAGCACCTTCCCTATCACACCAATCACAATAGGTTGGGCTATTGTGGCTACTGTTGGTGGGATAGTTTGGGCCTTTGGATTTTGTAGGCCAATGTGTGAAATTCAGTTCCAGGTACAAAGGGCAGAGGGAGAGGGATGGCACAAGGGTAGTGTTCTTCTCAAGACCATATAAGAACTACTTCACAGATACATTCGAATGATTCAGTGAAGCGCATGCAGCACACAAAAAAAACCATAGGTGAACAGCTGCAGGTTAGACCCTCAAAGTCGAGCTCTTCATGTGAGTTTCTTGCTCTACAACTCCAACTACGACCACTTCATCTCCAACCGGTGTGCTTGTAGAGAAAACTTGGCTGTTTTGCAGTTGCAAATCAAGAGAAGTGTAAAAACGGAGCAAGGGACAGGAGGGAGAGGACCTGTGCAGGATTGGCAGAAGCTTGGCGCACCTTTTCAACTTGAAATCAAAATGGCATCCCAGGTATACTGTCGAGATGACAGCTTTCGGGGTCGTAAGGCCATTTTCTGAGATTGGAGTTTTTAGGCTTGGCACTCAGAGCACCATAGATTTCCATTGGTGTGATGAACCTGTCTAGACCTGCAAAGATTTGTCAAGGTGCATGGACACCATGCGACACTTAGGCCCGGTTTTGTGGAGTATGACCTGGGCTTCAGCATGTTGTCGCTTGACATCATTCGGTTCCAAGCTCAGCTGTGGAAGACTCTGTCGTTGGAAGACTTTGAATTTCAAGACATTCGTGACACTCCATGATCCACCGTCTGTGCAGTGACTCAACAGACTCAAATGTCGAGCAAAGGTCACTCGACCATTCTCAGCTGAGATTTTTCTTTTTTCTTGATGCTTCTTGTACAACAGAACGGACCGTGGAATGGACCTACTTTGAGCGAGGTTGTGCTTTGTCCTGCTGATTTGTCCAGTTCAGGTGAGGTGATAGAGCAAACATAGGAAGCTATTATGACTATGATTCTTAGAAATGACGTTCAGCTGAATTTAAGCACCTCTTTCACTCCTTTATATCGATGTCCAGCCACAAGCAAGAAATTACCACCCATTGTTAGGTTGCTTTGGATTGCGGAGTGTGCAAGAAAGTATTGAGTCAACGCAGTTTATTTTTTGCATTTTTTCCGCAGATATACTGGGACTTCATGTACGAGCGGCGGGTAAATGGTGCTGGCTGCAAGCATCTCTATTCCGTCCAGGCCATGTGCTTCGTTTACTTTCAAATTGAGAGGTAATGCGGAAGGTATTTCAATGCCTTCCAGGGTGTGAACGCGCATATCATGCTTGCTTCTCTGGTCGTGTGGCTAATTATTTTGAAAGGATTGTGATCAAAGCTGAACCAGCGTCAGGGTCTTGCAGACCTTGCGGTTGGCATCATCTTCTTCGTGATGTTCGGCTTGCGATATGGCAATTTCAATGTGGCGGGCCAAACAATTCAGTTGCTGTAATGTCCACGTGTTTGTTGAAGGCACAGGCACACAAGAAATGATCTGGATATAAGCATGGGCACAGGGGGCACAAGGGGCACAAGGGGCACAGATGTCTAGCCAAGGGGCCATCCAAATGTTCTGTTTAGGTGCCTTCGATTGATTATTTTGTGCAGCAAGCTCAAACACCTTTGGATGTCTGGAGCTTAGAGGGCTTAGAGGTGCCATGATCCACAGCTTTGGACCATGGCTAAGCCTTGCCAAGCCTTGCAGATCTTGTAGTCTGACGATGTCTGATGTTGACGTGAGTCTTTCATCCCAACTTTTCATCTAGGGCCGGTGCTGGTTGTTCGTTTGATTCTATTGGTTCAAGACGGTTCAAATATGTCGAAGTGGTTGGATGCGAAAGCGAAAAGACCCAAGGCTGGCGAATTTGCAGAGCAATACAATTTTCACATCGTGATGGATGCTTTGATATCGGCACCTTGACCTTGACCATCTTGACCTCGAAACATCCTAGAAACATCCTGTGAGATGTTTCCATTGAAGGAACAGGGCCTGGCTTATGATTTTGCAATCATTTCCACTCAATGAATCTAGACACAGCTAGAGTGATACATTTTATGGGGCGAGCTTAGTGAGTTCCGATTTCTGCCAGGGACTCTTGTTGTATCGCTTCGCGTTCTTCCTGCGGATCAATCGCCATGCACCACTGACTTGCATTGAGAGGTTGGTCGTGTTGGCCGTTTTGGCACTTTAGGATGTGATGTGCTTTCTTGAAAGGAGCATTCAGGCTCATTTTCGCAAGTCAATTTTGATTCCCTCCAGAATGCATTTGCAGATGTAGGGAAGGATGTAGATGCAGAAGCTAAAGTCATTAAAAGTCATTAAATTCTTAGTTCAGCGTGATTCCCTGTGAATGCTGGTCACATCTGGTGGCCAGTTCTTCCTGATTTGGTCCACAGTCGAGCAAGCAGCAATGGTGGGATGCAGGCAGTGGATGCCTCCTTTGGTTTTCTCATGTCTTGATGTATCTTGATGTGCTTTTACTATCTTTTACTTTGGTTTTCTCTTAATTGTTTATTCCGCTCGATCCTTCGGACTTGGAGAATCTTGGAGACCTTCATGCACAAGCCTTGCTTAAGTACAGCAAACCCAGTTTGCGCATGACAATGAGAAAGGAAGGCATGGTGGAGGTGGAAAGAATGTTAATTAGTCATAATTGACTGCCATTTTGGCTGCAAGGCCACTGAAGTGGCTATGGAGGTTTTCTTTTGTAGGCTGTGTTAGGTTGGCGGCATGTCCTCGAGTGCCTTGCTGCCGGCTACAGACCTCCATGGTCTTCAAACGATCGGCGACGTGCTGCAGGCGCTTCACATGGCTGCGCTGGTTTGGCAAGCTTTCGTCCATCAGATTGGAGATCCGGGACCATCCTGGCAGCCCTACCCCGAACGGTGGTAGTTCAGGGCAGTGTCCAGGTTCAAGCCACTCATGTCGGGTTAGTTTGGCGGACATGCAGGAAACTTGTGCATCTTTGGGCCGGGCTTCCTGAAGGTGAATTTGTGGATATCGATCCATGGGCTACGGGGCAGGTCGACCAGCTGAAGGAGCAGACGCAGAACAACACGGCGCAGACCACTACGCAGGTCAAGGAGCGCATCTTGAAGATGTCAAGCGTGGTGGACCAAGCTGACGATTCAGAACTCTTACTGGCCAGCAGGTCAGAAATTGACAGGTGGGCCAATGCCTATGTGGCTGTCATGGGAGCACCGCCTTTGGAAGAGGAGGAACCGAACGAGGCTCAGCTCTCAGCATCGCACAGGAGGATCAACGTGCTGAAGCAGCGTCCTTGCGCTGACTTTGGAGTCTGGCTGCCTTTTGCCCGCCGGACTCAGAAGGCTCAGAAGTTTCGGGCATTTATGCCTGTTGGAGATGGCACCTATGTTGTGCGGGAGATGCCTGGGCCGCAGAACTTGCTGCAGTGGCTTTCGTCTTGGAAGGCCTATAAGGTGGCCCTCATCATGCTGGAGGTGGTCTCTTTGGCGGCATTGCAGCTGTACGAGAAGACCGTTGAACGCTTGGTCATGCAATGGCCAAAATGCTGGCACTTGATCGTGTTGGCCGACGACAAAGGACGGGCCGAACGTTTGGAAAAGCTTCGAAGGAGATTCTTGGTGGATGAAGATGGTGGCAGGCCAGTTCCTGCTGACTGGAGCAGGGACAGGCCTTGGACAACATGCTTCAGGGCCTTAGCACTGGATAGTGAATATTGGGATGAACAGGTTCGTCATCCTGCTGCAGCGTGGCTTGCAAGCGGCAGACGAGGTGTAGCCCTTGCCCCAGCAGAACAGGTAGCGGTTTCTCATTTGCCTGGGGGGTTGGAATCCGTGGAGATTGACAAGGAGGAAAGTGGTGAACCCCGAAGAAAGGACAAGCGACAAGCCGGGGCCAAGAGGATCAAGTTGGAGCGAGAAGAGCTGGACAAGTTGCGCAGGGCAAGCTGTGGCGGACAAGGTGCAGCCCCTGCCAAGTCGAAGGGCAAGGGCAAGAGCAAGGATCAGGCCGGAGTTCAGATCTGTTACTCCTTCGCCAACGGTACAGGTCCTTGTGGTAATGTGGAGCCAGGGGCCCCATGCTTGCAGGCCCAAAAGGGGGCTCACAAGTGCCAGCATTGCCTCTCCCCGGGTCACAGAAATGGTACTTGCTCGAGGAAGGCTTGAGGGACTTTTAGGACGCGGAAAACAGTCATCACAGGGTTGAAAGTTGAAACCTCTTTGCATAGCCGAGACATGGTGCTCAGCAGTAGCAGCACTGATGATGAGGCCCCTGACTTTAGTGCTGACTAGGGCGCCAACCCACAATGTGGCCACGGAGGCCAACGCCATCCCTGTGGGCCGGCCGCCGACGACTGCAGTGGAGTGCAAGACCGAGGTTGGCTCAACTCCAGCGGTGGACAAGCCCATGGAGGTGTCAGATGTCTGGTGGCCTCAACGTGTGACGGACGCCGTGAAGGCATCGGTGGACTTCGCCGAGTACAAGAAGAAGACGATTTTCACCTTTGCCCACTTCTTCTCGGGCAAAGAAGATGTCCTGAGCGACGCTGTGCGAAGATTGGCAGCGTTGGACGGGATGACAGTGAAGTGCTACTCCTTCGACCTGGAGGGTGAACATGCGGCCGACTTGATGAAGGAGCAGCCGTATGGGGACGTGTTGGACGGTGAACTTGATGCAGGGCACGCGGGTCCACCTTGTGGGTCGTTCTCCATTGTGAGGCACAGGCCGGGGGGACCACCTGCGGTGAGGAACTTGGAGTGGATATATGGGCTCCCCTCCAATTCACCAGCCCAACAAGCAGAAGCTGACGCTGGGTCCGTGTTGGCCATCAGGACGACGCTGCTGTTGGGCGAGATCATACAGTCCCAGCGGAGGAGAAAGGTCCCAGAGGCGGCGACGCTGGAGAACCCACCTGGCAGTGAGTCGCAGGTCGAGGGCTCAATGTGGGCACTGCCGGAAGTGGCCGACTTCATGGAGAAGTTCCTATGTCTGAAGGCTTGGTTCAACAACGAAAGGAGAGGGTGCGTTGGTTGAAGCCAGCTCAGTTTGGTGGCAGGTTGAATGGATTGGAGTCACTGAGGCGTAAGTGCTCCTGTCCGAGGGATTTCCAGCATCAGGTTATCCAGGTCTTTCGGACCACGCTCAGCTTGGAGTGGTGGAGGCATCTGGAAAAGTTCCACAGAGCCGAGCTCACCCAGCTGCAGAAGAACTGGATCAAGTCCAAGGAGAAGCGCAAGCGGGGAAACAAGAGGTCTTGGGGTGAGGAGGACATCATGAAGGATCACATGCCGGACCCCAACAAGAACACGAAGAAGGCCAGGAAGGAGTTTCAGAACCAGTACTTCGTGGGCGGCATGAGGATCCCCGCGATATCCGTCAAGAGGCTGGGCCTGGTGAAGGAGGCCGGGCAGGACATACTACGTCTGTGGAACGCCTTCCTGAAGGAGCACCCCGCAGCACTGGATGCAGCGAGATCGTATGGCACAGACCGCTGCAAGTTGGATGACCGAGTTGCAACGGAGTGGACTCTGAGATTGGGGCGACTCTTGAAGGTCGAGCCTCAGGCGGCCGTCAAGTTGAAGGGCATTGTGGAGGGCGTGGCAGAAGTATGCCAAGGACCCGGATGAGCACTTGCACGTCTGGGCGGTAGGGGGCGCGCCCCTTGGCATGGATGCTGAAATCCCTGGATCGGGCGGCATCTTCCCCCCTGTGGAGGAGGAATCCGAGCAGGCGCAGCTTGCACCAGAACTGGAAGTCCAACTTGGTTTGGGCAACTACAAGTCCATGATGGAGGGCCCGGAGGGTGCCCGCCAGGAGCTGGACCGACTGGTGTCGAGGGGCTTCGCGGAGTATTTGACCAAGGACGAAGCCAGAGAGCATTTCCGCAGGGCCATCCTGAGCCACCTCGCCCTCATCACCAAGGTGAAGGAGTCGGGCGCCAAGAAGTTCCGCATCATCATCGACCTTTTGCGGTCGGGCGGCAATGATCGTGCCGGCGGGGTGCCGGAAAAGATATACTTCCAAGAGTGTCCGACGTTGTGGGCTCCCTGAGGGAACTGTTCGTTGGCGAACGACCAGGTGGGCGACTGGGAGTTGGAGTTCATAAGTGCGGACCGATCGGATGCCTACATGCGCTTTGGGGTCCACCCAGCTGAACTTCAAAACTGCCTGGTGCCGGGGTTGGACGATGACGAATTGGTCTTGTTCAAGGCCATGAGCTTCGGTTTCAAAGGTGTGCCGGTGGGGCCGTCTCTCAGCGGCCGCAATGCGGATTCTCCAGGCGATGATGCCGGAAGCTCAAGGTCAAATCCAGTGCTACATGGACGACCCCCTGATGATGGTGCAGAGGGCTCCTCATGAGAGACAGGCCGCACTGGCCATGATCCTGTACACGGCACACGCCTTTGGGCTCCAGCTGTCATATGGAAAGGCAGAAAGGGGCACAAAGCTGACTTGGATTGGAGTGAGCATCGAGGTCGACGAGCAGAACAAGGTGATCATACTCAGCCCACCTGAGAAATTGGTGAGCGAAGTGACCATGCGACTGAAGACATGGGACTCCATGGTGGGGGTCAAGTCCACGACGGGCAAGCTCAGCTGGATAGCGGGCATCATACCACGCTGCCGCTGGGCGGTCTCCATCCTCTATGGCGTCATCGCTAACCACGAACGAGACGTGGCGTCAGGGGCGGAGGCGAGACGGGCAGCTTCGAGGGAGGACACCAGAGAGAAGCCGGGCCTCGTCCCTGCCAAGAGGATGCGCCTGGCCAAAGAGTGACCAGCATCACCACTGGGAGTGGGAGCCGTCTTATCGGCCATCGACCACAAGTCACAGGACCTCGTCCCTGTGGCCGCCATCAAGGGGAAGGTCACAAAGAATGTGGCAGGAACGTTGGGGATCAAGTACAACGACCCCTCGGGCCAGGCCATTCGATATTGATCGATATTGGGTCCAAGCTCCGAGACCAGAAGATCCTCCTAAAGGCCGACTCCACAGTGGCCCTGGCAGTCTCGAAGAAGCTGTCGTCATCCACCCCCACGTTGAACTGGGTGGGTGCCGAGTTAGGCCTGGTGTTGGAGGCCTTCAATATGGAAGAGTTGACCATCCATCACCTGGCGGGCAAGCTGAACGTGGCAGCTGACCACCTGTCGCGACCTGACAAGGAGGGTGCGCCACCGGGGTTGGAAGAGATCCAGATCCGGGTCATGAATGAGGCCTGGATGCTGGACTCACGGTTGCCCCGCCAGGGGTGCAATCGGATCTCTGGGGAAAAGCCCCAGGGCTTTTGCCAGTCTTTGGCAACCTTTGAAGCTGCATCTGTGATGTTAAAACAGGGGGAACTGTCGAGAGCATTGAGGCCTCTTGCCCTCCTGTTTGACGCAGTTTCACATATGAATGAACCATACGCCGCAGCCATTTTCTTTCAAAGGTCGAAAATGGAGGTAGTCCCGGCAGAAATTGCTGAGGACGACTCGACGTTGTCGTGGTGGCAGCTAATTGGCTGCGGCCTATGCTTTCTTTGCTGTTATGGCGTAAGCGCAGCAACCTGTCGCTGCCTGGGGGCGATGGGGACGCGGTTCAAAACCAAGTGGCAAGGAGAGGCGCCCAAGTTGAAGGAGAAAAATCGGGAGCAACTGCGGGGACAGTTGCCTATGCCCCCCACTCATGAGGGACCAGGGTTCTCAGGCGGACCAGGGCACGCCCAGAAAGCCTCCCCAAAAAGAGCATACTGTTGGACATGGCCAGAAGAGCTCAGCCAGTGATTCAGGAAGTGGAGGCCAGAAAACAATGGTCAGTTCGGACCGCTTGCTCCTCGGCTCAGGGAGAAACTTGCTGACCAGACCGACGGGTAAAGGTATCCTGCAGCTGGGAGCGTTGGAGGGACGGACAGGTATGTATGAACAACCCCCTTCAATCATTGGTGGGGGGACAAAACCTTGGTCGACTTCCTGAAGGGCCTCCCGGGGACCAATGGGCCGGGCCTCTGGCGAAGAAAGGGGGATCAGTATCAGAGGCTATTCGAATTTCAAAGATGGGCTCCTTCCAGAAGAAGGTGGCAATTTTCAGGAGTCGCTTTTTCTCCACCACCTCCATGAATTCTGGGGCATGCAAACGGGCCGAAGTGATCAAGTTGGGCAGGGCGGTCAAGGGCTCGGGCAGTGTATATTGCCTCTCAGCAAGGAGGTGGTGGAATCGGTGGCCGCGGCGCTCAAGGAGTCGGGCATGAAGTCAGGCTCACAGTACCTTTTGGAACTCAAGCTCATGCACATAGAGGCGGGATATATGAAGTGGAAGCGTGGCTGAAGCGCACTTTCGACCTGTGCAAGAAGGCCTTGGAGAGGCTCAGGGGACCACCCCCATGCTGCGGAAGTCAGAGTGGGCGTGTGGTGCCATTAGAAGCTGGAGGCCGGAGCGGTGGGCAAAGGTTTACCGGAAGTGCCCAACTTAGCCTTCGCTTGGGCCTCTGTATGGATGTTGAGGGAAATCGAGGTCCGCAAGATGAAGATTCAGGACATCACCTTCCCGGGGGAGGAGAAGTGGGTCACCATCTGGTTACCCACCTCGAAGTGCGACCAGGAGGGAAGAGGTGTGAGGAGAACAGTTCGCTGGTAAGAACTCCTGCACACCCATGTGTCCATGGGCCCTGGGATGGAAGGCAATTTCGGTGGCAAGAAAAAAGGGAGCGCTAACTAGCTCCCCCCTGTTCTCGTCGTGGAACAACCTGAAGGAGACTGCAAAGGCTGGCACCATAAAGGCCTGGAAGGTCATCTTGGAGCCGAAGTGTCCGGCCACAGCGCTAGGAGATCCGGCGCGATGTACTATGTTCGTGCAGGACTACCCATCCAAGAGCTGGCATTCTTGGGGAGGTGGAAATCCAATGTAGTGCTACAATATGCGGACGAAGCACTACAAGAGAAAGCTGTCGTGGTGCCCGACCTGCAGAAGGATGGCGCGGCGGAGGGCAAAAGCGAGCCCAAGACGCAGCGGGAGCCAGAACCATTCGTTGGACAGGTTGCCAGGACTGCTCCAATCCCTGCAATCTCCACGGGACCTTTGGGTGGTGACTAAAGGAAGGGGATGGAAGGGCAGACCACGGCACTTGGTCACGAAAGCTTCATGGAACTTAGCCATGTCTTCTTGGACAACGGCCTGCGGATGGGAGAAACGCACCAATGGTGAGATGGATCCAAATGCCATGGATGGATCTATCCAAGCGCCACCCAAAGTGAAGAGACGCAAACTGATCTAGCTCACCAACCGCAGACAAAGATGCCATAGGAGGGTGGGTGGGCTTGCTGCCTGACGACTTGAATTGTGGTACAGCAAACCCAGTTTGCGCATGACAATGAGAAAGGAAGGCATGGTGGAGGTGGAAAGAATGTTAATTAGTCATAATTAACTGCCATTTTGGCTGCAAGGCCACTGAAGTGGCTATGGAGGTTTTCTTTTCCCTCCCGCCCACACCAGATGGGGGTTACATAGCAATTCGCTAGGGCAGGGAGAAGCGCACCAATGGTGAGATGGATCCAAATGCCATGGATGGATCTATCCAAGCGCCTCCCAAAGTGAAGAGACGCAAACTGATCTAGCTCACCAACCGCAGACAAAGATGCCATAGGAGGGTGGGTGGGCTTGCTGCCTGACGACTTGAATTGTCCAAGATTTAACAAGTGGTCTTACTGACTGACTATGGAGGATTCCAAAAAAATCAGATCCTCCAAGTACCAAAAGAATGTTGCGAGTGCTTCCCTTGACGTGTTGAGTTCAAACGGGTCGCTCTTTACGATTCTTCGCTGTGAGGCTTCTTGTCATTGCTGTGCCAGTTGTGGTGGGTCTCATCCTGGTGAGCATGGCGGTTGGGGGATCCTATGATGAGAACAGCAGGAGAGCAGATCCGGCAGGTTCTTATATAGATTCAGATATATTCAGACTATTCAGAACTATTCTCATTTCATCATTTGTATTGCCTTTTGCACTGCCAGATTTATATACTTCATTTATGTCTATTATTGTTCATTTTGGGATCAGAAAATGAGAACCTGCATTGCAGTGGCTCCTCTGCTGGCCTTATACACATTGGTAGCCGTCAATATCCGAGTTTTGCACTCCACAACCTGCACTAAATCATTGAGAGCATGAAAGAGTGATAAAGAGTGCAGCTTAGTTCGACCAGAACAAGAAGGAACACGGTATATAGGGTGCCACAAGATCAGGTCCTTGTTGCCACAAGATCAGGTCCTTGTTTTGGTACGTTGCTGCAGGAGTTTTTGGTCGTCCTTGATGCGAGTGATGCTCTTGATCTATGCAGACGTTGAGACAGTTAAGGACCTGCCACATGCATTTCAGGTCATTTCAGATCTTCAGGGACGCTTCTAGAATTTTTCAGAGCTGTTGGTTTGAAATGCATGAGGTGCAGCTCTGGCGTGACATCTCTTGTTTGTTGCTTTTCCTGCGCAACGATGAACGCGCGAGGACTATGACCCGAATCGTGGGTGGCAGTTGGGAAGCTGAGAGGGAGTTGGGGATGAAAGTCTGGCGGTGAGCGCGCTTTAAACCAAAAAAAAGCCTCGATCAGATTCGATCAATGTTAAACTCCTATATGCATAAACGGCTCCTTCGACCCAGGACAGGTGGGCTCGTTGGATCTGTTTGAATCGGCACCTCATTGCCAGCGGCATCACCGACACCCACCCCCCATCGTAGTCATTCAAAATTAAAGGACCGGAAAACCCCACATGACAACTTCTTCCAATAAGCCCCAAAAGAAAGGTGAAGACGGGATGGGCAGGAGATGGCAGAAGGCAGATTGTGTGAAACAGGTACGTATGAGAGACTTGCGTGTGAGAGAGTTGCTTGTGAGAAGGTTGTATGTGAGCAAGTTGTGTGTGAGAAAGTGTGTGTGAGTTGCGTGGAGATGGTGGACGACTGATTGTGTGAAAGAGGTGTGTATGAGAGAGTTGCGAATGTCACCAAGTGCCACGCCTGCCACACACAAGACCGCAGCGTCACAGACCAGCCGCGACCAAGCGCGTGACCAGGTGCCAAAAGTGCCACGCCTGCCACACAAAGTGAAGGTCGATGTCACCAAGTGCCACGCCTGCCACACAAAGACCGCGGCGTCATGGCGGACCAGCCGCGACCAAGCGCGTCACCAGAGCCATAAGTGCCACACCTGCCACACAAAGTGAAGGTCGATGTCACCAAGTGCAACGCCTGCCACACAAAAGACCACGCTGGTGCCACCAGAGCCAGTGCCATAAGTGCCATGCCTGGCCCACAAAGTGAAGGTCGATGTCGCCGAGTGCCACGCCTTTCAGCAAAGTGAGCAAGTGAGTTGTGAGTAAGTTGTGTGTGAAGGAGTTGTGTGTGTGTGTGGGTGGGAGTGTTGTGTGTGAGCAAGTTGTGTGTGAGTAAGTTGTGCGTGGGGAAGTTGTGTGTGAGAGCGTTGTGTGGGATAGGGGTCAAAAAATTAGTCGGATCAAACAAATTCGGGATCAAAAGATTTTTTTCGGGATCACTTTTTCTCGGATTAAAAAACATCGGGTTAGATAAGGAAGGAAGGAAGGACGGAGGGAAGGAAGGAAGGAAGGAAGGAAGGGAGGGAGGGAGGGAGGAAGGAAGGAAGGAAGGAAACACTAAATGTTGCCAGAAAAGATGCCAAAGATAATGACAAAAAATAGTGCCAAAGAATAGCAGGTAGGATATCGGATTGGTTTCAGAAACACAGTCACAATACAGGCCAGTCAGTTAATACAATATCAGAAAGAAAGTCAGATAGAGTTTCAGCTAAATGTCCAATGCTCACAAGGGGCATGCTCGACATTATAAACACATTGAGTGGTATATTCAAACTGCAGCATTGCCTGTGAAAACAGGTATTGTCATTCTGCTTTGGGGGGAGGCGCTGCGCCCTCCCCCTTTTTTTATTCAAGTCACATTTGCAATACACTTCTCTGCATGTATATATATATATATGATTTTTTGCATGTAGCATTGCCTGTGAAAACAAGTATTGTCATTCTGCTTTGCCCCCCCCGCTTTTGTATTCAAGTCACACTTGCAATACACCTCTCTGCATGTGTATGTATATATATATATATTTATACACGTATGTTTTTGCGTTGTCATTCTGCCCCCCTCCCGCTTCTTTATTCAAGTCACACTTGCAATACACTTCTCTGCATGTAAATATAAGAATAAATCAATAAATAAAATATATATATATATATATATGTGTGTGTGTTTTGCATGTAGCATTGCCTGTGAAAACAGGTATTGTCATTCTGCGACTTTGGGGGGAGGCGCTGCGCCCTGTTTTTTGTTTCAACCTAATACCTGTGCGGGTACATGCATGAGTATTGGGCACATTTATATGCGCCCCTCAAGGCTCAAGAGGTATATACAGAGTAACCCTGTGGACACCACACCGACAGGCAATACGCCGTAAGTAAAAAGGGTGTGAAGCTGTCTTGGGAAGACGCTCTAGCTGCCTCTAGCTGATCTTGAATAGACGCTGGTGCCCCTCTTCAAGTGGTAGCGGAGCTGTGATCCTTCATTGAAGGTGAGCTCCAGGTAGAGCCCAATAATGGCACGCCATGGCTATGATGATGATGATGACTTCGACATTGTCGATGCAGATGGACGGAACCAATATGACTCTTACGCAATGAGAAGAGCCCCCCAGCAGACACAGATTCACATGACGCAGCAGATGACCACGAAGGTAGCTCCAGCATATGATGGGAGAACCAGTTTCTTTGCCTTTGAAGATGCAATCGATGACCGGTGTGGCATCACGGAGTTAGAACCTGAAAAACGTGGCCTTATTGGATAGAGAAATGCTTAGGGATCCCCATGACGGAGTGAGCTATTTCAAAAGGTTTCTACGACCCCATTTCATCAAAGGTGCCCAGAACGTGTTCTTATACCGTTTCATGCAGTTCATGAAGTTCAACTGACTGGAAACAGACTTATTGAGTCTTGGATGGATTTACTACCAGAAGCGTTGATTACTAGCCCAGAAGCAATTCTGTTTATCCAACGACAACGACAAGAGCATGAAGCAGATCAAGTTGAACGAGCACAAGTAGCAGCAGCGACACCAGGCGCAGATCCCCCATGTGGTCATTCCATGTGGTCATTCCCTGGTCAGAAGAAATGACGTCAATGTCTTTTAGAACCTACAATGAAAACAGAAGACAAGCACACAGGATGGTATTCCCATTGGGCGACAATTTGCTAGCATTGATTTTTGTAAGTCTAGCTGACCTGACTCAAGATCAGAGAAACACACTCACAAGTATCATGACACATCGTGGACGAACACTCGATCAATACCATGTGCAAGAACTACGTGACCTGTTTTGGAAATGTTTTGCACTCCAAAAACCGCAGTTGACAATCCAATGATGCAACCCTCTGGCATGCCACAGAGAAGATCTTTCCTCGTACTGGATGAGGGTGAATTAGAAGGAACCGACGGCTATTGGGCCGAAGATGATGAAGACGGCGGAGAAGGATTCCTGGATGCTCTAGAAGATGTTTTCTGGGTGTATGATGACGCTGACTACACATGGTACAGAGAAGGTTCCAAGGCAGACAGACCAGACGAGGCAAAGGTAAAGGAAAGAGAAAAGGAAAAGGAAAAGGCAGAGGAGGACGCAGGTTCTTCAGATCAAGAAAAGGAAAAGGCCGAGGAAAAGGAAGAAGAAAAGGCCGCTCTCACATGGTGAGTGAAGAAGGTTATGATGATGAATGGCAAGAAGGAGATGAATGGAATGAATCCTATGAAGGCTATTGGGCCGATGATCAAAACTGGAATGAAGGCTATTGGGCCTCTGATGACCTGTACTATCTTGATGAGTATGTATACTTCCAGAAGAAAGGAAAAGGAAAAGGAAAGAAAGGCAAGAAAGGCAAGGATGATGATGGCAAAGGAGGGAAACCAGGAGATGGCAAAGGTAAGTCCAACTATGTTCAACCTCAGACCACATCAACTCCTGCCATACAGAATCAACAACAGCAACAAGCTCATTATTCTTCTGCAGCATCAAGCTCTGGTCATGGTTTCTTTGCATTTGCAGAGACTGAACCAGCACGTGTGGATGTTTTGACAGCCACTTATGCTGAACGAGAAGAACATCGACGCACTCGTCGTGGAGGACAGAACCAACGTGATGCAACAGCACAGCACAACAGGAAAGAGCTTAAGAAGTTCCCTGTTTTAGTTGGAGATCTTGATGCACTTCGACAAGGTGTACAACGACGTCCAGCTCCTGTGCTCAGGCAAGTTGGTCTACAAGAAGGTGAGGCTTCATGGAAGCCACTGGCAAAAGGCACATCATTGTTTTCACATGGATGCTCTGCAGAGACAGAGGTACCATCTCATCCTGAAGGCTTTGTAGAGACAAAGGAATCAGATGAGCAGAAGAGTGCTTTTTCATACTGTGCAGACTGATCTGGCATGTGAGAAAGGACTAGCTTTTCACACAGAGAATTCTGCACCGCCAACTGTATGTATCCTGGATCTTGGATGCGCAAGAGCTATGGGCTCTCGACGAGCAGTTGAAGCATTTTGCAGATATGTTGACTCACATCCCAACAGTGGACTCTGGTATGAAATTCAGCCAACAAGTTCAAGATTCTTCTTTGCAAATTCCCGACAATCCAAGTGCACTGAGAAGTTTGTGATATTCATGTATGGCAATGGATGGAACACTCAGTTCACAGAATTTGACATTGTCGAAGAAGGTGATGTCCCATTGTTGATGTCACTTCCACAGATGAGAAACCTTGGATTTCAATTTGAACTTACTCCAGAGAAGGCTTACTTGTCCTGTGCACGTATTGGCATGAGAAAAATGGTCTTGAAGACAGCCATCAGTACTCATCTCATTCTCGACTTACAAGATGTTGCATGGTACATGAGCCAAGTTCATTTCAAAACTCCACAAGTCAAGAGTTTCTTCTCACAACGCGATCACTTTGAGTACTGCCAGATTGCTGTCAAACAAGATGTTCAAGAAGAAGAAGCTTTGGTGACTGGTGACTACTGGCAAGTTGATCCATTACGTCGTGAACTCATCAGGCACCACAAGGACAAGAGGAGAAATCTACATGAGATGAATCGATCAGATGAGACTCCAATTCCAAAGATCAACTTCTTGATGAGAGAGACACATCAAGAGTTCCAAAAGAGCAAGAAGAAGGTTCTTCGCAAGGACAACTAGCGTGAAGAGAGGAAGAGGTTTTCTGATCAGAGTGAAGAGTTCTGGAAGGGCAAGACCATCTACAAGATCAAGAAGGACTACGTGATCCCTGATGATGTCGTCAGAAGTGACCTTGATCGAGCAAAGCCTTTCCGTGGAAACATCGGTGATCTGTTTCACCCTGAGTCAGCCTCTTCAGCGCCATCAGGTGTACAGAAGAAGCCAAGCTCCTTACAGAAGGAGGCAGGCAACCCGATTTCGAGATGACCAAGCTTGAAAAAGATTGAGGT